CCAGAGTACATGAAACAAATATATTGGAATGGTAAAAAAATATCAGCATGGTGTGTCAGTTTTATTAAGAAATTAACAATAATACATTACACACTAGCAGACAGGAAGGCCTTCAATCAAGTAATTAAAAAATCTGAAAATACTGTCAATTGATGAATGTCTTTTCAGATTAGTACATACAGTATCTCAGTATGGTATGTTATTGATAAAGCAGCAAATGCCAATGTTTGATAACATTTTTGATTTTTAACAAACCTGGTTTTGCATTATTGTTACTGTATATTTATTCCTCAATAGGAGCAAGTGACTGGCTCAAATGGATGTGAGGCAAACAATTCCATCTGTGTGGACATGATGAAATGGACATGTCCAATCCATGGTTAGCAGAAGGTGGCGATGCTCAGAGCTCTGCAGCAAGTGATTGAGGCCAAAATATTTTCAAAGAATTAAATTAAAATGATTTATCTAGTGATTTTTTTTCTGAAGATATACTGAAATGCCACACACTTAAGTTTTTGTTTTTTACGCATCTGGTTTATATTGCATGCCAAATTTATAATAAATTAATTAATATTATTAAATGGTATTATAATCCCATTCAATAGTAATCCTTTTGAAGCAAATATGTGACCCAGATTTAGAAAACAAATTGTGAGGATTAATTTTGAAATATGTAATGTGCGAAGTTGATAGTACAGTATGAAAATGTGGATCAATATATACAGGAACAACTATTTTAATGTATGAAACTGCTTATTTTTTAATGCCTGGATTATGCCTATGTCTGCATGCTAATCAATTTGGTATTGGAATTTAAGAGAAAGCTTCAATTTTCTTGCTGTACACCATTTTTTGTTTATTATTTTAAAATACAGTAGTTGAACTTGCCTATGTCATATCCAAAATGCCATTGAGAAATTGTTTGACCCTAACAAAATTTGACTTGCACTTACGGTAATGAAAAACACAACAATTCGGCATGTAAAATTAGATGGGAGTATATTATTAGTCGTCTTAGGCAAGTTTAACTGCACTGCTCTATTTATCATGTCTGATTGTCTTGTATTATTTACCATAGCCAAGATTTCTTCTTTCATAATGATATTCAACATCCATATTATTATTATTATTATTATTATTATTATTATTATTGTTGTACATACAGTAAATTCAAGACTACTAGTGTTACTAAATAAATATTTTGAAACACAATTTATCATCCTTGTACATGGCAAATAATTTATTACAAGTGTATTTTCTCACAGTTAATATAAAATAGTTTTACTGTACACAGAATAAAGCAACATTAAAGCAGTCAGGTATTACAATATATATCACTGCACTTTACACACAATTTATTATCAAAATATTAAATATATGGATTTATAGTTTAATACTGAGTATAGTTTATACCAATGTAAAGAATAGGGAAGAACAAGTTACATTTATTTACTGTACACAAAATTCTAATTCATACTGTATTAGCTTAAAATTTTAAAATATGAGACGAGAGTGGGGAAGATACAAAAAACATTGTACTGTACTTAACGACAAAATGTTCTTGAAATCAACTTTGCTGGCATATCCGCATCAATAGCAACAATTTCAATTACAGACTAGGTCTGGAAAGTTTACACAGAATTGACTGGTCCAGATATGCAAAAGCTCTAGGCCTATGTTGACAAAATTTCCTTTCATGAGTGATGAGATTGTCAAAAAAACAGAGCACAGTTGTCACATGAATTGTCAAGAATGTATCTATTTAAAAAAGATCTGTTGCATTAATGAGGATGGACTTATCAGGTATCTTCCATAACAATTTATAAATAATTCTTCCAACACAAAGTTTATTTCATCATCTTCTATAGCATCAAAAAGCCCAGGGCATTCTTCACAGCTTCTGGGAACTTGTCCCTAATCGCCCACACAGTGCAAGATGGGATGACCCTTCTGTCAGATTTCTTTAGCCCGTTAAACACCTACCAAATGAAAGCCATTGATATCCAACATGTCGGCATTTCCTGTAAGAAGAGAAGTATAATAAAAAGTTTGAACAGACTAGTTAAAAAAAATGAGGGTGACTATTCCTACACCATTCAAAAATAATTAGTATTGATATTACAATATCTTTTTAAGGAATGAATCATTCTGGCACTACCACCAATGATAATTTTTGTTGAAACTATATATATTCAAATGCATTGCAAAGTGGTGTAACATAGCCATGACCTAAACAATTATTTTGAATAGAATTTATTATTTCATTAATATAATACTTTTTTGTAATATAAAAATAAAAATTAGTTTAAAAATTACAAATGAAGACAATAACAATATATGTATAATAGACTATCTTGTTCCTCAATCTTTTCTAATGTACAGTAATAATAATTCCCCTGTATCTTGACCATCAAAATGGCTGGACATTTGACACTCTACTAGTTTTTGATCCAGCATGGAACCAGCAGGGCCACGCCTAAGACGGGTGGTTATATTTCCGAGAAGAATGCCAAAAATTAGTCTTTGAACTAATCTGAATACTGTATATAACCATTGCCAATGTATTATGCAGAAGTTAAGTTCTGTGCACATTTTTCCAAGCCACTTTCCGCGCAAATTTGAGCTAGCTTTCAAGGTATCATCCACATTCCACGACGAATAAACTGGCATTTTAGTAATGCTTTAGTAGCCTAGTAGTAGTAGGTCCTAGATAGTTCCATGGATCTAATAAGGCGCGATCTACAAATTATCCCCAACGACAGAAACGGGTTAAACACGTTTACTATTGTTATATGACAAGCTCCCAAACGCGTCTGTGAAATGCCGTTTGGAACCCAGGTCTAAATTCCAGTTGGGACCAGTTGGAAATGCCAACTGGTCCAACTGGTTTCCAACTGGTCTAACTGGTTTCCAAATGGTCCAACTGCAATTTCAACTGGTACAACTGGAATTTCAACTGGTACAGCTGGTCTTCATAACTGGGTTTAACTGGTCCAATGGTCTATCCAACTGGTTGAACTGGTCCAACTGGTTTTACCAACTGGTTGAACTGGTCCAACTGGTCTGATAGTTCCATGGATCTAATAATTAAAACATGTAAATTAAAGCACTTTATTTAAAATAGTGTTGTTTGTTTGTCTAATGTTTGAAATATTATTATTATAGTTTGTATGCCTAGGCCTAAACTTGGGGCCTAGGCCTAGGTCACGCCAGGCAGTAGTATTCCGTATTCATACATACAGTACTGCACTAAATGCTAGGCTATGCCTCAGGTAAGAAGACAAGTTGGTATTAAACAAACCTATTTAACGCCACAATTAAGATCACCACTTCCAAGACTTCCTTATCCAAACCAGCAAACATATCTTTTTGAAAGATTCATTCTTCAAAAATGCCTTCGACTTATTTTATTATTATTATTGAATATTTTCGCCAGTCATAATTTATCAATTTTCCGCTCGCGACGACCATTCTCATCAGTTGGCTAATGTCGTTACCAGCTCATTACGGTTGAGTGAATCAGCTGACTCCCTGTCTAGTGCAAATTTCCGAAATAAAAACTGGGGCAAATTGTTATTTTACACATAATTGAGACATTTTCATAAGTGAAAACCCATATAAATGAAAAGAACGGCCAAATTTACATTGGAATATCTAAAGTTTGACACTATTTTTTACGGGGTTACCGAATGCAAGCCTTTGAAAGTCGGTACATTTTAGGAAATTCCCTATCTTATAACACTAGCTCAAAATCCTGTAGCACCAGTTTTTTTTTTTTGGGACCCAGTTCACGAGCCTCGTTTTCGAATACCGCGCTCCAAAATCGAGTACCGTCACCGTCGTTGTACTCGCCCATCCCTCTATTTTGAATTAAAAATTAATCATTTCATCCCCGCACCCCTCCCCCCTTTAAGTTAACAAAGTTATGATACAAAACTTCTACAGTAGTAAAGCAAGACTTTTTATACCTTGTTTAGCAAACCCGCCGACTGCAAATATTGATGATTTCAAATAAAAATAAAACTTTATTTTTGGTCAATCAGCGCACCCGCTGCCACGGAAAAGTGAAAATTTTAGAAAAAAAAATTAATGTTTTTCTTTATTTTTACTACGTGCTCCACTGCCTTGAAATCTCCAAAGATAAGATACCTGTATGTATATTTCCTCCTAATTATATAAACCAATCTATTACATTCACCAATAAAATTTTATTTTTATTCTCTTCTCCATATGGATGATTTTGAATTCCTAAATAAGAAAACAACATTTTATTCTATTTGTATTCCACCCTCCTCCGATGATCTTTAAAAAACATAAGTACACGAAACAAGGAATAAAAAACGTCTCAGCAGGGGGGGTGCAGGGTTACTGGCCTGCTTCCAGCTGGCCATGATTTGGCAAATTGCAGAATTGTGGTTAAAAATTATGTAATGTAATTTGGAATTAAAGCTGGTTATTCACCAAAGCTTAATGAAAAACTCAATTCTATCATGTCCTATCATCAGCCCTGAAAGCTCATAAGCAGGCAGAGGACATTTTAAATACATTATAGGCTGGAAGATCTAGGCCTGTGAAGAATGTAGGCATACATGGCAGCTGATACCTACTGCCTTCTTTTAGATTAAACAAATAAAGCCAACTCTAGGACTACTTTGGAAATTGTATATATCATGCCACTTTATGACATAAGGAAACATTTTGTTAAATTGTGCAATTCTAAATCTGTAATTTAACTGACAGGAAGATTCTGTTATAGTATTATTTCCCCATCATCCCATGTACAAAGTTGTTACTTTTGTGGAGTTGCTTTGTGTCATTGTATGCTTTTGCCATTTGTTTAATTCTTTCATGTTTAATATTCGCAGTTGCCAAATTTCGTATAGATAGAAACCTAGCTTGTTCCTCCTTGGTTTCACCTCCTCCCTGTATTTGAGGAAATAAATATATTATTCATAGTATTACATTCATTGTAATAATAAATATCATATTACAATATCTGCATGTCAAGGTCTGAAACCTAATTCAGATTCTCCACAAAAAGTAATTGTGTTGGCTGTGACATAAACCTACCCAGCAGGCACACAACGTTAATTCAACGTTGAATCAATGTTGAAATGTAGTTGAAACGTTAAAATCATGTTGACAACATATACTCAACATTGAATCAATGTTAAAAATATGTTGTGTATTTAACCCAAGTCCCGGTTGATAAATTAATGTTAATTCAGCGTTGAATTAATGTTGACATTTGGTTGATAATTTAACAATTACAGTACCAACATGTTTTCAACATCTTTTAAACGTCAAGTTAAAATATAGTTTGCATTTCAATGTAGAATCAACGTTGAAAATGTGTTACGTTTTTCAACCAGAATCGTATTGTTTATTCAACATTTTTTTACGTTAAATAAACGTTGAAAATATGTTGAGATTTTAATGTTACAGTAACTACGTAAGTTCAACATCTTTTCAAAATATAGTTTGCATTTCAATGTAGAATCAACGTTGAAAATGTGTTACGTTTTTC